GCCTTGATGCTTCTCCTCATAATCTGTTTTCTCAGCTTTTGAGAACATGCCCTTATTTGCATGCTGGTGACCAATCCACAGTTCATTCTATACCAGTTCTTCCCTCTGCCATCGCGTGTTTTCCCCCTGGGGAACGCAGTTCCCACATCTACTGTGTGAAATGAGAAGCCTGGAAACATGTTGTGCCAAATGTTTGCTATGAAGATAGTTGTAGAGCAAGTCGTTGAAAGCGTGTCCATTGTTACCTGTGGGTTACCTGCTGCAATTTTACCTCTGTCAGTTAAAAGCATGTTCTTCTAGAATAGCTTTTCTGTCCAATAACAGTGTTTTAAGAACTAAATACTGGCACACTGGTAGGGTTTGATGGAAAACGCTGTTGCAAAATTCAGTCAGTTATGCTGTACAAAATGTAGTAGCCCTCTGTAGCAGAAATTTTTCAAATAAATGGTTTGATTTGCTCGCTAACAGAATAAGGCAGTGTTGCAGCAAAGACTTGGTGTACAGAAAAGTAACTGCAAGGCAGTGTGTCTCTTACAGAGCCATCCGCTTGCTCTAAAAGGAAATTGCAGCTGAAGACAAAGCGAGTGGGGCTGCTTCTGGTATGTGTGTGATCCAGGAGGGCTGCTGACCCTTTCCTTTCTCCTTTGTCCTTCAGTTCCCCCGTGTACCTCTACCGTCTGATGGCAGTGGTGGTTCACCATGGAGACATGCATTCTGGACACTTTGTGACTTACCGGCGCTCTCCGCCTTCTCCGAAGAACCCCCTCGCTGTCAGCAGCCAGTGGCTGTGGATTTCAGATGACACTGTTCGCAAAGCTAGCTTGCAGGAAGTCCTTTCTTCGAGCGCTTACTTGCTTTTTTATGAGCGTGTTCACTCGAAGGCACAGCACCAAAGCTTGGAGTTGAGGGCTGAAGAGTGATTAAGAGAGCAGAAGGACAAAAACGGACGAAATTCCTCTAACGAGATCTACGTTGCACCTCTTGTCTGTTATGCAAATAACCCACCACAGGCCCTTTAACTTCCCCCTCCCTCTATGGCGATGGCTGGCTCCTGCTGGGAGTTGTGTTTTGTACCGAAATTGCACTACCCAAAGTTGGTCTGCTAGCGTCGTGCAGCCCAAAGTATGTCTGCATTAGAGAAGCATTTATTCTGTCAGGTAGCAATTTTGTCAACACCACCGCCCTGAAAACAGACGTTTCAGACTTCCCAAGGCTGTATCCCGTGGTCTGACACGTGTGTAAATTTTCAGAGGGAGATGCTTAATCCTACACATTTCACTGCAGACGTTTCTGAACAGGGAGCCCTAGAAGCGGTTGATGGGAAGCTACTGTTATCAAAGGCAACGATTTGAGAAACAAAGTGCCTTCAGCTTATTCAAATCGCTGCATTACCATTGTCTGAGTCGCTGCGTGTCCGTTGCATTCTGATAAATGTCTCAAGACGATGGGATGAACTGCTACGGAATCAGATTTCTCCGATACCCCAGCTAAGCAGTCAAGCAAGGCATCACTACATAACATGCACGATCCAAAGAAGGACTTCCCCGTTCACGTCATTTTCCTAATATTTTTGTTCTTTACACATTGTAGAGGTACTGGTGATTCAAACTGCATTTTCCTCTTTCCAGGAGAAAATATAGGGTTTTTACCTATTAAGGTCTGAGATTCTGATTTATTGCTCTGTATCTTTGGGATATAGCTGAAATCAAGAGACAGAAGCGTTTGCTAGCAATCAGCATTGTGATTTCCTTCGTCACTATGAAACTGTGGAATACGTTTGCTTGTAGTATCAACTACAACTTTTAATGCTGTGATTTTGAGGCTACTGTAATTGATGTTCTAGACTTTCCCTTCCTGTTTTAATGCTGAAAACTGCCATTTCTCACCAACCATGCAGACACGCGCTGCCTGGCTTGCAGCTGAGCTGCAGAGCTTGCACCAGTCGTGATTGTGAGCCGGGATGTACAGCAACCCAGGCGTCCTCGCAAAGTTAGAGCATACACACGAGTGAATCGGGACTGGTGGGCACTCACTTGTCTCGTGAAGTAGCACAGCAGCCTGGAAGGACGGGTGTCACTGCATTAGATACTCAAATCACTGTAGAAATAGAGGGAAGGTGTACTTTGCTGCTCTAGATGGTTTGACATGTTAAAAAAAAAAATCCCAAACAAAGGGAGGGTGAAGCAGCAAAAATTATCCTTTGGACTGCTTTTAAATTACCAGGAATAAAGTATGGAGGCTGGTTTTAGCTCTCTTCTATCCTTGTAAGTTTGGAGGGAAATAAAGACTAATTTGTCAGACAAGCTTTTTCAGTGTAAAACAGCAATTTAAGTTTTCAAATGGTAACAATTGTGTTAATAGATTTTTAGGGCAACTTTGTACCTCATAAATTCATATTGCTGCCCAAAGCTCACAGGCTTTCAGAGATCCTTAATGGGAGGCTCCAAACCAGCCCAAACAGGAGTGGTAACAGATGTGTATGAAAAACTATTTACACAACTCATCATTCCAGAGGAGGGATCATAATTGCTGCTCCAAGTAATGCTACTAGTACGTAAAATAGTCTGCAAATCCACCGACGTACTAGTTCCTGAGAAGTCTCCCTGTCTATGCTAGACTATCAGTAACGTGGGTTTAACCTTTCTCTTTTAAGTTATGGACAAACAAGAAAACTAAAAAGAAAACCTAGAAGGATGCAAAATGCCCTGGCCATTGAGCTCAAACCCAATGGACTTGCAGAAGGTCAGAGCAAGCCCTGCATTCTGGGCAGCACGGGTGTGCAGTAGGAACTCTCTAAAGCAGCGCCGCGTGTCAGCGAAGGAAAAACATCACGCAAAGCACTGAACTCCAGCAGGTCTACCATCTGTAGCTCACAACTTCAAAACATCTCCACTGCCAGTGGTGTATATTCTGCAATACCTAAGCTCAACAGAGTCAGTTTTTAACTCTGAATTTTTGAGAAGTTCATCTGAACAGGTCACTTTGTTTAGAAATCAGTAATGCTGGAGGTGGGTCAGAACATACGCACACAATGGACTAAGTTTTAACCTCCTCAGCTTGTAACAGGGACATAAAGGCACCTGTTACTGCAAGCCTGCGTGTTCGGTGTATTTTTCTTTTCCTTTTGCATAGAGCTGCATCCCGGCAGGGCCCAGTTTGATGCTAATGCAAGCGCAGCCGCTGTACGACACTGACAAACTACTCAGTGTCACCCAGCTGCAGATTTACTCTGAAAGTTTCCTCAAGGGCTATGAAGGTGAGTGTTGCTTAGTCAGCAGTTGTTCTGGCTTTCACTGTGAGGAAGGAGTAGACGGTCTTGGCTTAGCCATCACTGTGAGGAAGGAAGCAAGTATCAGCACCTTGGTCCCGGTCCCAAGCTGTGCCAGATCCTCCCAGCCCCCTGGGAGCACCAAGGCCCGTGCAGATGTTTGCCACCAGCCCTCACCTCCTGAAGGCACTGGGCTCTGTGCAGGAACATGAGGCTCATCAAACGCTGTCACCTGTTGGTCACAAGCTTCCATGGTGGAGAAGGTTTTAACAAAATGGGAAAGGTTAAAAAACATCAGGTAAGACCTCTGAGATGACATCTCTGTGTTTGGATCATTCTTGTCTTATTTTGTGCATTATGTAAAAATGTATGATACTATAGTCAAACCACTGCACCGCTGTTTGAAGTTGCGTTTTCACGTCAGGGTATTTTTGTAACGGTACAGTAGCAATAAAAGTACAAACTTATTAGAAAAAGTAGCTGTTCACATGTGGTAACGTCTTGAAAGAAAGACCAAGCCGTAACCCGAACCGCATTTGGTAGAGGCGATAGAAGAGGCCCCTCACGTTCTCTGGATAAGCACCATGCAGGCAGGAGCTCTTCAGGCTACGTGTGGCATTTTCTGGTAGTGGCAGAGGGTGAGAAGGACCAACTCCAAATTGTCTAAGCAGACGTTCATGCCGTAGCCCTAATGGGCCTGCCGCTGAAGGACAGAGCCCGTCGCTAGCTCGGATTCTTGTAGCCTGGTTACACAGGGATCGGTTCGTGTTCTTGCTCAGCACTCGCCGCTGCTTGCTTCTGCAGACCTGTCGGTGACTTTGGATGGTCTGTCCTCATTTCAGCAGGCTTCCCTGGGATGGCTTTCAGGTGGTCAGAACGGAATCCATCCCTAGGGATAATTACTTAGAAAAACAGACACTCTCAGAAATTACAGCCTTTCACGCTGCGTTGCTCGTCTGAACGGCCCAACCCAGTCCTTCCCCAGAAGGTCCTCGTATGCTCCCTGCTTTCTGAACAAAGGACCTGCAGGAGAGGCGGCCCTCTCCCTGCGCAGCAGCACCTCATGCTTCCTCCTCCTGCCCCAGCACGCTGCTGACCAAAAGAACCCGGGCTCCCAGGCCAGCGAGGACGCAGAGCAGCAGAGGATACAGGCAGAGAGAAGTCCCAGCGACTGTGAGACCCGCAGCCGGCCATGCTACACTCACTACGTTCCCACGTTCCCACTCCTCTTTTTCATGTCAGTCTCATTTGTATTTTATTTTCAAAAAACAAGCGAACTACAGCTCATTGACAGAGCATGCAAGAAAGCGTCACCTGTTGAACAGTATCAGCTTTAAATGATTACATCTTGTACTTTACAGTATTTATAAACTATTTCACTGCTATCTGAAGGATATAGAGTATTTTGATCTTTTTGGAAAACTGGCTAGATTAACATCAGTTGAGAACAAACTTCCTCCTGAGCAAAACAAGGGTATTACTCCTCAAAAATACGTCTCAGCAGGACTACAGCAACGTTTCACGGAGAGAGAGTATTCCTGGCATTTACGATCAGTAGTCGCAGTCTTTATAGCAAGTTACCAAGTACATTGTCTCCTTTGCTGGATTGATTTGCTCATCCAGTACCTTGGATCATCAACGACAGTATCTGAACGAGAAACTGGTAGTTATGCTGGGGAAGAAAGCTTCTATTTTCTGAGTCAAAAGATCTGGTGCTTGATTGCTGAATATTTCACTTCTTGGCTACGGTCACCATTTTCCGAAATGTGAGATTGATTCTCGGGGCAAGGACTCTCTTGCGGGTGGGCACGCTGTGGTACCAGTAGACGTTGGTGGGGTACTTCATCATCAGCAGGCTCCCGTGGGCCAGCTGCAGTCTGATGGGCTTGATGTGGCGCGTGGCATTTTTCCCTCTCGAGTCACAGTGCCTGAAAACAAAGTCCCGGCAAGCTCCGAAGGTCACGGACGCAATCGGACTGCGTGGAACCAGTTCCCTCTCATCATCTCGATGTTCGCCTATGTGGTCCCCACCATCTTTGTATCTGTACACAGAATAGATTAATTAGTTCTACCGAGTTCAATTAAATGAATGTCGACGATCTGTCAACGGTGTTGCACAAGCAGTTCTCCATTTGAACAAGGTGCTTGATGCAACTTGAAATGAGGCATACCTGTTAATAACAACAAAATTAAAAGTGTGTCCTGTCTCCACAGTGACGCGGTCTCTGATACGGTTCAGAACTGGGATCCACGGCTTAGGAGAGAAGGTAACGCCCGAGTAAGTGTACGTCAACTCCGGGTCTCCGTAGGTTACCTGCTTCCTTGGGATGTCATGCCATTTGCCAAACACCTGCAATTTCGTCATTTCACCTGTTTAAACAAGAAATGAGAAGGATCAAAATCAACTGTGTGCTACCTCTGCAGTTCACAGCTTCAACATTCTCCTTGATTTGGAGCTTCTGCGAGTCTCCAGCGGGACAACAGATCGGCGTGCCGATGACAACCCAAAAGCTGTCACCCCTGGCCAGGAGCTTCCGTCCCAACAAAGCACCTGACTCTCGAGCCTGACGCTGCCTTACTACCCCCCTCCGATGGGGTGAACGGGACGGGCACCCCCCGTCACACTCTGCGGTTGAATTAATGCGACCGGGGATATCCCCTATGTCCAGCCAACTCCTGCCACCCTTCCAGGCCCACCCCTGTTCCTTGGAAACATCACAACGTGACTGGGACCGCTCGGCACCTGCACCGGGCAGGACCAGGCCTCACCGGGCTGGGCTATGGGAACGCCGGGCGCCTGCAGCAGCCTCCCCGCCCCCGGCAGATCTGCCCAGGACACGGGGGGCGGCCCGGGGCCCGGCGGGCCGGGGA